AGATAGATATTTATGATGCACACAGGCGCATAGTCAATCGAAGTCTTCTAAGCTATTGATTATTTGAATGAAATTGCAGCGATGCGAGCGAATGCATTTATAGAAATATACTTGTATATAGATACGTATATGTATTTGTATGCATGTACTCCATTATATAGCATTGCATTTGTGTGCTCACACAAAGCCGGAAGCAGTCGCAAAATGTCATCATCATTGTAAGCGGCAAAATAAATGTAGAGCAATAATTAAAAAATAGGAAAATAGAAAATACCATCAATTGTAATAGAATTGTCGTGCACTCTCCCTCCCCATCACCCTCTCTCGCTCCCGCTCTCTGCCCCTCCATTTATTATTCCATCTGTTATATACAAATGATATTAGTCCTTAGTTGTCCGCTGTATGCTGAGTGCCGGTGAGGCGGTAGGCGGGAGGCGTGTCGGCCAGCCCCCTGGCAACCTGCTGTCCGTTACATGACCATTAGACAGTCACGGCGCGTCGCTGTCCTTCACCGTTAATGGCCAGACACTGTTGGCCAGCTGTCACGTGGCAACGATTAACGATTAATAAATTATTCATACACTAATTAAGTGGTATATGCAGTTCAATTTTAAATACAATATTCCACCTTTTTTGCAGCACTTCAAATTCAACAAGAGCTTTCATCCTTAGCTAAGTCGTTGCTAATGCCAATGGGCGATAATATTTATTTTATTGTGAGTTTGATTAGGCTGAACTCGATAATATTGGGGCATGGCATAGCTGACAAGTCAGCTTTTGCTTATGTGTCATGCTTATGTACATATGTACATGTATAGTATATACATAGGTATCTTCTGATACGACGAAATTCTGTTTAATTTTGATAAGCGGCAAACAGAGCGGAAACTTCATATTTGTAAATGCAGCCATCTCATTAATTTACAAATTGTGTTTCCTTGTCGCGGAAACTTTATTGAAGTTACGGTTTTTTTTTTTTTCAAATTTTCATATTAATATTTATAGACATAAAAGCAAACATGAAAAATTCTACTAGATATGAAAATATAACAATAACGTACTCATTGAAAGATAAAAAACAGTTGAATCTTGTTGGTAGTTGAACAGTTGAATATATTGATTAATTTTACATTAAGTCTAACTCGTTATTAAATAAATAAATATTTATTTTTTTTCATTTGTCTTCTCTCTATTTATAGTATATTTGAAGCAAAGATTTGATTTGATTACTTTTTATACTTAACTGTGCCATGTTTTGGCCCCAGCTCCAAAAATATAAATGATATATATTTTTATACATATGTATTTAGCTAATTGTTGGCAAAAT